ATTAATGCGAATGTTTCCAAACCTTTCCTTCAACTCACTTGACAGCGTTTCGAGTCTCCTAACCAATCCACTCTCTACTCTCTCCAAACTATTATCTCTACATCTCTTCCACATCCATTGATCGAATTCATTCAAATACTTGATGTAAATCAACTTCAAAAATGGTATTTCCCTAAAATCCAACCCGCATTGCTCCGCAACAAAACCCCACAAGTTTTCCCTATTAACAGCATCATACCCACCAGTCCTTCTAACTATCCAGTAAAGTTTAAATAAATCCATCTCACGCCCACCGCCATTCATTACCGGGAGAGGCCTAAGACAAATATTCTTAGATACATTACTAAGAAACACTACAAGAATTTGATCAAACAAAACCCTAAGCTTCTTCTTATATCCATCAAAAACCCAATCTTTGACTCCCAGCCTCAAAGAAGGTTCATCTCCCCAATCTGAAGCATGGGCTATTTCAACTTCATGAAGTGTGGATTCATCTTCTAAATTCGACCATTTTTCCATGAACCCAGAAAATATTCAACAAAGAAACTTTCCACTGGTAGGTTTGGATTGTGTGATGTGCCTCATTTGCGTCAGGGGAGTAAACGGATGAGAGCAAATCTGCCTCAGACAAATAAACGAACAAATAAACGAACATCTATGGTTCTTACCGGCGCAGAGAATTTTCTATGATTTTTGCTCCCCTCTAATATAATCATCATCATGTAATCACCTCTTCTTTTTCTTCTTCAGACAAATAAACGAACATCTATGGTTCATAGCTTCTGTGACATCACACCAGGCTGATAACAAAGAAAAAAAATAAGAAAACACCATAAAATTCTTAACAGATCACTCAAAATATAAAATACAGTCTTTATTATTTTCTCCGTCCTTAATTTGATTACAAATTGGGAGTTACAATATAAAATTTCTTGTCTTTTTGAATCATTTTATTTATAAATTAGTATATTAATAAGAAATAAAAATTACATGTTAAAAAACTACGTCAAAAATTTTACAAAATGAGAAGTGATAAAAATATTTTATTTCATCAAATACTCAATGAAAACACACAAATAAACAAAAGTTATCGAAAGAAAAAAGAAAATAGATTATAATCTATTCTGGGACGCTAGAAATAAAATACTCCGTTCCGTATGAATGATATGCATTGTGCACTAAAATAGAATTTTGTATTGAAACTATGTGAAATTGTATAAATTAACATTATAAGTCGTTTCTTGAAGGTAAAATCATAAAAATCTTATTTTAATCCTTTTTCTAAAGTTTTGTACTCGGAGTAACTTTTATTCATATATTGATCTTTTCGAGGTTCCCACATACTTCCTCTTGAAAAAAAAGCGGAGAAATTATTACTTTTTCAATAAAAGCTTTTCCAAAAAAAATGTCATGCTGTAATTTTGATTAATGTTTTTTGTGTTTTTGACATCAAATTATTGGAGTTGACGAAGTAATAAGTACTCGGAGTTGACATCAAATTATTAGAGTTATTTGCCCTAAAATATTGTTTTAGTTTAATTTTATAGATCCGATAATAAATTAAATATAGTTGTAACTAAATAAGTTAAAAATTTTGATAAATAAAAAACTATCTTAAAATTAATTCAAATGTATTAAATTTACATTATGACGAAAGATATGTTTTCGTTTTCTAAAAAAAGAAGAAGATATTTTTTTCATAATTTATGATTAAAGAGACCATAAAAAATCAAACTACAACAATAGTTTTAGGATAATGAGTAATTTTGATTCGTAACTAAATTGAAAAAATAAGATGCGATAAACATATTTTATTTTATCAAATAATAAGACAAAACGCACAAATAAATAGAAGTTCTCGTGATTTTTGAATAGTAAAAAGTGTAATTCTTTTTTGGATGAAAAGAATATATTCTGCTTGCCCCAAAATTATAATTTGAGATTTTTTTATCTAGCCATACATTAAATATTCTTTTAAATTAATAAATATTACTCGTGTAATAATTTGATAAATCAAAAATATCTTTAAACTAATCTAATTGTATTAAATTTACATTATAACAGAAGATATTTTTTCACAATTTGTGGTTAAAGAGAATACAAAAATCAAACAATAACAATAATTTTGGAACAAAGTGAGTAATTTTGATCCGTACAAACTAATTTCATTTGGCGAAATTGAACCTCTTTTTTTATAAATTGAGTTTTTTTTTTTCTTTCAAAAATGCATAGTTTTGTTTAAAGCTTCTTCTAATCCTATCTCAAATGACTTTGTTGTTAAATTGAATTGATTATTGGGATACAATTTCAATCATGACCATATACATTAATCAAATGTATTGTGAAATTACCATATACAATCTCACATTACCACAATGTGAACTCTTATTTTAGGGAAAAGATATGGAGCTCATATTTTGGTGCTTTGTATATGTTTTACTTCTATTTAGAGTATTTCTTTTGATTATTCTCTTCGTTTCTAAATAAAATCATAATTTTCTTTTTTTATCAATTTTAAAATAAATAACCTATGCTATTTTTCTCTCTTCTATATAAACTTTATTTACACTTTTTATTTTCAAATTGCATTCTTATTATTAAATAATGTAAAATTAGATCGAGACTTGTATGTTAAGGATCTTGTATTCCAATAATATTGTTATGACTTTTCTAAATGAAAGGTCATGTGTTCAATATCTGGTGGAAATAACTCAATAGACTTTAATACATTAAGAATGTTTAAACATATATTATTTTGTAATAGAGTTATTCGTATTAAAAAAATCTCTGAATTATATTTAGATCAAAGATGAGAGGAGTATATGTTATGGTGTGCAAAATAAATGCTTTTACTTCATCCATCTTGCTTAAATACATTGTCGACATATTCTCATTGACAATTGTGTGATATGACTTAAGGAGAAGTATATAAGGTAGTTTAAAATTCTTTTTAAATAATTTTATTTGTGTCTAATACTTAGAACTTATCCAAGTGTGTGGTGAATGAGATGTGGAAACAAAAAAAAAATATAAATAAAAACTTAAAGTGCACTCAATATTATACTTGCTCAGAAAATACTAACCCTAATATCTGAACACTCATTCTTAAGAATTTCAAATCTACTAATATTATGGTCTAACAAATACATCAAAATACCACATTAGTTTTGACAAACAACTCTTGCTAATAAAATTCATTGATTCTATACCTATTCACTATCGCTTACAATGAGAATCTTACTGCGATCATTCGGGACCGCTTCAACAACAAAAAAAAATAATGGCTATTCTCAACATCTTATAAAGATAATGAAATAGTTGACTTCAACTGTTTGAACCAAGTATTTTGCAACAGCTTTCCTCAACTGCTTGTGAAAATTTTACAATAGCTATCTTAGATTTCTTCTAATGAGGATTTGGTAACGCCTATCCTCAATTGTGTGCGTATAAAGGATTTTTTTATATCATATACTCCCTCCGTCCCAATTTAAATCAATTATTTCGATTGACGATGTTTGATCAAAGTTATTTTTAATATAATTTATCTAAGAATTGGTGATGAATTTTAAATTTTAAAAAACAATAAAAAAGTCCTACAAAACAAGAGGTGACATAATTACATTATTTTGTCAAATAAATAATGAAAATAGGAAAACAAAGTGAATGAAGTTTGCTCTTGCGAATAATAAACAAGCAACTTATATTGGGAATTCGGGACGGAGGAAGTGGTATCAGTTATTTTCAAGATATTTGAAGAAAAGAATCATTCTACAAATACATCAAAGAAATACAATATGAGAGCAAGATGGTAGAGAGAATTTGTATACATTCATGTACAACTCTCCTATAGAAAGAGTGAGTGTATAACATACTCCCTCCGTCCCAGAAAGAATGCCACGTGGGCCTTTCGATAACTTTTGTTTGTTTACTTGTTTTGGTTGACCATTTGATAAAATAAAATATTCTCGTCGCATCTTGTTTTGTAGAGCTTTTCATATACTTTTGAATGGTGTAATTTTTACTTTTTATTACTCTACCAATTTGAAATTAAAGTGATTTTAAAAGAGATAATATTTTGCACGTCGTTCGAAGTGTTGCAAATAAATTGGGACGGAGGAAGTATACGGAGTACAACATTCTCAAGTGTAAAATGTGTATATGAAAGAATAATGCAACCGAGTTTTTTTTTGAAATAATGCAACCGAGTTTTTGATCTAATTACAAAATAGCCAATATATAGCCAATATAAAGACGACGAACGAGAGCACTATAAACACTTTGTATAATCAAGGAGTTATTGAGTTACATACTCCCTCCGTCCCTAAATAAACTTTCTTTATTGACTTTTTGAGAAATTAAGGAAGAGATATTTTGGTGTTGACTTTTCAAAAATATTCTTGATGTGATGGATAAAAGAAAGATGTGATGGGTATACTATTAGTAAAAAAGTATGATGTGATAGGTAGGATATGAAAAAGTAAGGAGTAAAAGTGATTTTTTTAAGGGGAAAGAGAAGTTTTTTTGGGGACAGAAAAAACGAAAGTGGAAGTTTATTTAGGGACGGAAGGAGTATGTGTTATTGGAGTGTTGGTATCATTTAAGAAGCATTAAAATAGGACATTCAAGTTTTAATGCCCAAAATAGGACTAAAAAATATTGTAGAATGTCAAAATATAGTAGTACTATATTAGCACAACGCAATAACCCTATTTTAGAATAAAAATACTCCGTATGTTACTTTTATTTTAGAGTTAAAAGCTACAGAGTATGTTTTTGCCATTATTTTAGGTGACTTTTTTTCTTACCAAGTTACCATGAGTTTTTTTTTTTTTTTCTAAAACTCATATCATATCAACTCTCTAAAACTCACCATATGAGTCACTAAAAAGTTGGCACAAAATTAGTGATTTTACCATATAGTACTCTTTTCTAAGAAATTTTTACAAAAGGGTTATTTTTATATCTACCCACATAGTTGACACAAATATCTAACACGTTATGGATAAGTGTCTAACTCGAATTTTCAGATAACCAGAGGTTTTGAACATAACCGTAATGTGTCACATGCACCATTTGAAGTTTTAACACTATTCAAGTAGTGACAAATTACGAATGTTGCTAATTAGAGAAAATACTTTTTTGACATAGCACTCAAATTCAACTACTAAAAGCTGAACAAACTTACAGAAGCTCAAATCGCCATAGCCGAACCAAACGCGTGCCCCGAAAGACTGGCGCGTCCAAGAGCCATCTTAACATTAGAAAGAGAAACACAATTGAAAACACAATAAGCCAACATAGAATCCAGGAAGTGGAAGAAAGCCAGAGGGGAATCAGTGGCCTCTCCTGTGGTCTTTTCTTCCAGGGGAAGTAGACGGGCCCCGCTGCCTTCTACGGGAACCAGAGTCATCATCACCCCTCCGATCATATGGTGATCGTGGCCTTCCACGTCGATCCCCATGATATGAATCACTGTCTTTCCGTCTGCGGGGTGAGTAACTACGAGATCGTCTTCCATCAGAGCCTGTGTAGTTAACATTGCAATATCAGTGCTATAAGTGGAATGGTACATAAACCAACAAAATGCAGGGGAAATGGTGGGGAAATAGAGGCAAAAATAATAGCACAATGAGCACCCTTTCATGAATTAGTGTGCCAACAACTAGGGAAGAATTACTCCATATGTGGGAACTGATATGAAATTGAGTGAATTTGCAAGAAATTGCACCAAACTTGCCAAAAAAGCAAGAGTGCTGATGGCCTTATGCATACCGCTTGAGCATTTTCACCCAAACTAATTTTTTTTAGTAATGATACACATTTATTACTAGTATTTTTTTCAAATGTGGCCTAAAGATGTCCCATTTTCTATATTGCTAGCTGAAGCCTTTTTAACTATTCTCACTTTCTCAGACAAAATTAAAGTACATAACCAAACCAGACAATTCCAGTGTATCAACCAAAGAGTGGGGTTTGCGGGCAAGTTGGATCTTACCTTACCTACCATATTAAAGTTCATTTCAACTAATTTTTTACACAATTATTACAGATGCATACCCCATGTGAGTGGGATTAAAATTTGTTTACTCATATTTGATTTTTATGTGTTAATATCTAATATACAGTACACATATATTATACTACGCGGTATTATTTCTATATTCATCCTCAAAACATTCATACCTCGTTTATTTCTCACACCTTGGTATCTTCCGGGAGTTGGTGTCCGCCGCCGCTTTCTCTTAGCCTGTTCACAAAATCAAATTGCATGATAGTTGGTAGTTTACACATTAAAACTCAAGTCATAGTTATTACACATAAATTGTAGGTATGCAATATGTAAAACCATAGTTCATTTTGGTTAGGCATGCAACCTTTTTTTGAACTGCATGCAAAGCAGCAAAGTCATTGATTATTTTCACTATGCAAATATATAGTGATCAACAACTACCTAGTAGGATCCCACGAAAGTAGGGTCTGGGAAGGGTGTGTGTACGCAGAGCTTACCCCTACGCAAACGTAGAGAGGTATATAGTGATCCTCCATGTAAAATATTTTACATGGTACAATGCAAAAATGATCTTAAAAATCACACCCTTAACACTAAGAAGGGAAACTAATCACCTTAAAATGTGCGCAACACGACACTTTGCATGCAAAATGCCTATTTCAAATCATACCAAACTAAACACCCCCTCAAGATAAAGAAAAAAACTAACCAGTCACTCCACTACAAAATGTAGTTTCAAGGAGATAATGAAACAGATGCAAAAAAGGAGAAAAGAATATCTTGCACATATATAGAACTGCTCTACATACAGCTAAATAAGTAACCTCATAGCTACTTACAATTCCCACCATAAAGATACTAACACAATCAAAAATAATGGAATGAAATGTACTCAAATGTTCATAATAGATCTGTGTCTTTATAATCATTTCAGGGATAAGAATCAAACCTTCAAAAGGTCACAGTCAAAACAAAACCAAAAAACAGAACTGGGAAGCAGCGTGACTCGTTTAGTATGTCGGTGAGACAGTGACTGTTTCTGATGAAGATATTAAAGGCATGCGACCCTCTTGGAAATAGCAAATTCATTTGATCAGTTTGAAATGCCGATGCAGTGTGCAAGTTGCGAAAGAATATGTTCGACGATTTAGACATAATAGCTTAGAATTTGTATTCGATGAAGTTACACAAACCAGACCTGCTTCCAAAATATATGAGGCAACAATTCTGAAGATAAGTACGAATGTAGAACTAACTACTCTTTATTGAGTTGCTGAGCAAAAATAAATCAAGCATGACCGTGGTGCAAAACATCAGGCAATGTTGAAGATTGAGATAAGAAACTACCTTCTCCACCGTAACAAGTCGACCTTCCAACACAGAGCGGTTAAGATGCTTAACACATCGGTCTGCATCTTCGTTTGTCTCCATTGTAACAAATCCAAACCCACGAGATTCTTTGGTTCGTGGATCAGTAACGAGACTGCACTCAATAACCTGTAATCATAAAGTTGATTCACTAATCACTACTGAAACTTTTTTTATAGATCGCAGAAACTTTTCCTTGCTTCATACTTAACATCAATCTAGACCAAATGTTATATGAGCAAATTTTAAGACAACTTCTGGAATCTAAGTTCAAGGAGAAAGTTAACCCCTGTCTGGCTACCTAGAAGCCTACAAAATAACATGTAGGGCAAACACAGAAATATTTTGTGTATTGGTAATGCCATGTGTGAGGTTCAAACAAAAACTTTTCCTTAGCTCATACTATATTTCATGATTTGTGTCATCTCAACAGAATGTAAAAGCTAAGTAACCAATATGATGGTTCAGATTCTTAACCAAGACAGCCCAGCAGGATTGAAACAAATAGTGAGGTAGGATATACTTTCAATTGATTTCATTGCTGCAACCCATAGGTGGGATTATCTTATTTTCTTCTCCTTTAGACCAAAAAGGAAACTAACCTATTGTTCTTTGAATACTGAAGAGCCATACCTTCCCTTCACTGCTAAAGAACTTCTCAAGATCGCTATTTGTAACCCTTGTTGATAGGCCAGTCACATAGAGGTTATTTCCAGGGTTGACGGGTTCTTCAGTTTCACGGCTCCTGGAGTCAAAAAGTTCATGTTTCACATTAAGTTATATGGAAAGCAACTACTCACACAGTCCAACATTTCAAATCCCATGCATGCATATAGCCCAGTAATACGGTCATAAGCATATAAGGGCACATGACAATCTACCCCCTATTTATTCTAATTCTAACGGTCAATCTAAGATCATCATATTATGCACCAGATCTTCCATTTTGTAAAGCTCTAACTTCGACAAACCATGGTGATGCAATAATTTATTAGCAGTGTCATTTTGGCCAGTTTCTTCCAATATTAGATCCATAAACTTATACTATGTATTAAATTGGAAAGTAAACTAATTTAGACATGTTTATTCTATAGTTCGTACTTCATACATTGTATCTTAAATGGAAAATAATCAATAACAAACAACATACACAAGCAGTCAAGAGTATACAACACCAGCAACTGGCTAAGATCCCACAAGTAGGGTCAAGGGAGTATGGGTGCACACAAATCTTATCCTACCAAAAAACTAGGGTCCAAATGTATAAACCAGCTGAAAGAAATACAGTAATCATTTCCAAAATCCAAAGTTAGCGGGAATACCTCGAACGGCTTCTTCTTGGAGGTGATAATGACCTTGATCTTGACCTAAAATCCCTGACAGGGGATGCCGACTTGGGCGGGGAAGCAGGCCTGTAATAAATGATAGCACACGCACACAAATGTTTAAGCTAGCAATGCCATTCTAGTACCGATTGAAAACAAAAAAAAAGCACAAAGTGAAAATTATTATAAACTTGAAGCACGCACCTGTGGACTCTGGTATATGTCATCGCCTCTAACGAAATGATTCTAAGAGCTCGCTATTGTCAAGAACACCGCAAATTGCAGAGGAATAAGATTTTGAGCAGCAGAAATGGAATATTTCGGATTGCAATTTCAGATTAAAACATTACATGTAATGCGATTCATGTGCTCGAGATCATCAAATCACAGAGCGAATGCTTGAAACACAGAAGAATATAGTAATACTAAATAAATAAAAATACGGGCGAAAAGGTAAATGAACCTGAATTTGATAATGGAGATGAGAGCAAAGAAGTTAACGTTCCGAGCAACTATCTCCAACGGAATACCCTTTTCTTCCTTCTTTTTTCCTTTTTTAAGCAAGTCGGGTTTAGACGAGGAGTATGGATCTCCCACAGCCCGACAGACTCCATTCGGGTTTGGGAAAACAAGTGTCAAAAGTTCTATGGTGCAATTCACAAAATTTTTGTGGATGTTCTTCAAATTTTTTTTCACATTTGACTTGATATTATTTATGATAAAATCAATTGTGAGTGGTTGTAGAAGAATAAAAAATTGATATGAACTACGGAGTACATGTTTGTTTCTTTGAAAAGAAAGGGGAACAAAATTTTGAACTAATCCAAAGAGGAAAGAAGGAAAATAATTATGAGATGAAGAGAATAATTTTTTTCTTTTTTACAGTATTTTTTCAAATAAAATTTTAATCATGGTAGTATGTAAATGTTACAATCATCAACGGTAGTTCTAAGATATACAGTGAACCTGAGATCCATGATAGAATTTACTAAAATGTCATCCTACTCTCTCTATTTAGAGTTTTCGTTTAGATTTAGAAATAATAATATGAAACTGCGTGCAGATAAAATTTGTAAGGGTTAGGGGTTGGCAAAAACACCATTTCAGCATCGTTGCAAATCGAACTAATATTGTACTTAACCGAAATGCGAGTTTTCAAATGGTTCTTATACTGTACATTATATCTCAAATCGAAATGCGGGTTTTCAAACTGTCACGAATCATGCCCACTAGGGATGAAAGAAAAATACTCTCTCATACGGAGTATAAAACACAACTTTTGTTCAAATGAATGATGATTTTATTTTGATACTAACAGATATATTAGACCGACTCTCAAATATTTATAGCGAATTAAACTTGAAATACAAGAATTAAATATGTGTATTTAGGCATGGTCCATTAAAGTTCACACAATTCATTAAAGGTTGAAGCCTCCGTGAAACCGGTCGGGATAATGTACTCATTTCAAAAGTGAAAATATACAAGTTATATAGGGGAATACGATCACAAGTTTTATTATACAACCGATTTGTACCCAAAATTGGGTACCACTAGCTCTTGAAACGACAAGCACAACGAGAAAGGATGGCGGCTTCGAAGAGAAGCGGTGACGTAACATCGTTCGAAGGGGACCATAGCCATGAATCCCCCGTGCAATGTTGGCAACGGACGATTTTCGTAGCGACTTTTGATGGATTGTTGCCGCCGACAGCGAGGGGACAAAATGAGCACCACAGCGACTGAGAACAGGAACAACGGAGGGAATGGCGACAATGGAGGGATGAACTGAGGTAGTGGTAACCCTTGATCTGCTGCAAAGGTGGTTGGGGAGGATGGTTAAATGAGATATGTTGTTCTAAAATGTGTACTTACCGGATGCAGCTGGAACACAGTCCATCCAGCTGTGTGCCGTAGACACTCTTGAATATTTTACGATGTTTGACTGAAGTTATTTTTAAATCATTTTATATGAAAAATGGTATAGAATTAAAAAATAAAAATTACATATCAAAATACTACATCAAAAGATCTACAAAACTAGTAGTGACAACAATATTTTATTTTATCAATTTGCTAACGAAAAATAGAGAAAGAAAGTGAATGAAGTTTGACCCTGTGAAATATAAACAGACATTATAATTTAGGACAGAGGAAGTAGTATTTAGTGGAGGGATGACGCATGCACATCCTATGATACATTAAACAAAGTTTGATTGGGCGTTACTTGTTATGTACTCCCTCCATTCTGAATTACTCCCTAGATTACAATTTTCGCATTACTAAGTAAAATCATGTATTTTTTGCAATCATCTTATTTGAAATTGGTATACCAATAAAAAACAAAACTTACATTTTAAAAGTGGTAAGGCAATTAAAAAAACATGGAAAATCCCACCAGCAGATTCAACCGTGTCAAGAACACGATTCTCATTTTCCTGAAATCTCCCCACGCCCGGTAAAAGTGAGCAATACATACTCTAGTATATCATTTTGCACGAGGCCTATAAAATTCAACTCACAAAAATGTTTCATATAAACAAAATAAAATTGAACCAAAAAAGAGCAAAGAGGGAGTGTGAGTTGGGAGCTCACAAACCAAGAGGAAAACAAGAAAAAAGCCAAGCGAAAAAAGCCAAGCGATAGACAGGAAGTGAAGAAGGTCGACATACGTTAAGAGCTCCTGAGTAGAGCTTCCATGGATTCGAAGAAGAGAAGAGACATTTCAGGGTTGGGACACTTGATTGCACACTTGAGGCCGGGATTCCCAACAGTTGTGGTGAGTTCAATCAAGAATGGGATTCCTTGGGGGATCTTAGCAGAAAGATACAACACATCTTGGCTGCCATTCTTCCGTCTGGCAATGAAAAATATGTTGGTTGCCGCTAATCGGTCTAGGGTCACTTCCACACTCTTTACAACCACCTCTGGGAAGTCCTTTGATCGCTCATTTGAATCAGGCAATGACTTCCACTTCTGCAAAAAAAAACCCAAGCAAAACAGTTTATAAGCCTCCCCTGCGTAGAGTGATAAGTTGTGCCAAAGAATGTAATCACAAACACAAAAACAATACTTACAGAAAGAAGATCTCCCACTTTTAGACCCATAGCCTTTTAGATATTTAGAATATTACACTTCTAATGGCCTTTTATTTATTTTTTTTCATTTTAGGCGGACAACCAAGAATTGGTACTACTCTTGGTTCTTTTCAGTCACTTATCCGACGAGAATGTTATTGATTATTTTTTTCATGTTCCGTTTTAAAACTCTCCCTTGATTCTTGAAAGATGAACCAAATTATGAGGCACAATTATTGTATTCAATGAACTCATCATCTGGTACAAAGCAAGTAAACAAGGAGGCTAATGCAATGAGACTTGACAAACTTTTTACCTGAAGAAAAGTAGAACGATCCATCTTGCCATCCTCAGAACACAACACATGCAACAAGATCTTATCACTGAAGTACCTCACTGGCTGTTGACTGTTTTTCACTGCAATCTGCAAAAGGGTGCTTGGAGGACCTGGAGACATGTTTTGGAATAGAACCATGGGCAACAGAACACTTGCAGATGTCCCCGGTTGCAATTGAGTTACCTATCAAAACTGATATTGTCATCATCTAAAGCTAACCTACTTAAAGACGTACAATGAGCTCAAAATAGAAAATAATACTCCCTCCGTCCACAAATAAACTTCTCGTTGCGCGTTACGATGTTTGACTGAAATTATTTTCAAATCAGTTTATATGAAAAATGGTGTTAACTTTAAAAACAAAAATAAAATATCTACAAAACTAGGGGTGACATGACTATATGATTCTATCAAATGGGTGACGAAAATAGACCAACAAAGTGAATACCGTTTGACTCTGTGAATAGAGAATGGAAAGTTTATTTGTGGATGGAGGGAGTAATAGAATTAGGGATCATTTGCTATTTTAATCATCAGTGATGCAGCATTAGTAATTTAGGTCCCTTGTTAACTTTTGTGAAAAGCATCCCTGATAGTGTACCCGACTACCATTGGTTGCCATTTTAGTCCTCTAATGCAGCAACTCTAGTCCTCCATTATTAACAAGAGACGGCGGACTAAAACCACCACCAATGGGTAGAATAACTTGCGATGATTATTGGTAAAGTTAATGGATTGAAATTGCTTAAGTTGCATGATTGATGAAGTAGCAAACAATTTAACCTAGAATAAGAATTGAAATAGAAAAGGATTTGAAAAAAAGTGGGATGGGGATCAAATTATGAGCAGATGAATATAATATACCTGGAGTGGTCCAGCAGCAGCAAGTCCAAATGTATTCTTATTGAACTGAATCATGAACCCATCAAGTGACATCTGGGAGTTGTTCTCAAACAACATGCTGTAAAAGACCTGACCATCTCTACGTATCATCTGAGCACTGATTTGTAAACCTTGACCAGTAGATGCTGGTAATAAAACAGGCAATGAGGGTCTGCAAAAAAAGTAAGCACTCATGAACAGATTACCTTTCAAATTTTGCAATTATGGAAATATACAATGCCCCTAAAAATGTAAAAACATTATGAACTCATTTATAGAAGTGTTTCTGAAGATATATACTCACTCTGTCTCAAAATGAAGTTTACACTTTCGTTCTTAAGATATCCCAAAATAAAGTTTACAATTCCATATTTTCCTTACTTAGGGACAAGAACACATTACTCACAACATCTCTCTCTTCTAAGAAAAGTTTAAACATGTCTTTTTCAATTTCCAACATTTTTCTTCAATTCCGTGAAGTCAAATTGTAACTTCATTTTGGGACACACACACACACACTATACCTTGTTGGAGTTGCAGGCTGATCAACAGACACTATAGTACTGTCGTTACTTTCGATTCCCAGGTCAAGCAAATCAGGCAGGGATGAGGGAGCCACAGCCATGGGGCCCAGTTGCTTTGTAGCAGGGTGAACACTACCGTCAACTGAAGGGTCAGGTGATTCAGAATGCCCAGGTTCATTTCCATCGGGATATTCATCTTCCTCTGTTCTTTGAATGGTCTTCACGCGAGTAACAAAAGTATCTGGAGGCTTATGATAGACAGAGGATAAAGTAGCAATATTCACAAGAAGTTCATCAAGAAGAGAAGGGTCAAGTTGGTTTGAATCATCTCTGATAATTGGCTTTTCGGCTAACACGACATCCTTCGCAGCCTGCAAAGATGTAAACAACCCCTATAATAGGCAGACATTATATGGGACTACCATTTTGAGTAATTAATAATGTTACTGTTATACTAAGGATTTGTTTGGTTCAAGAGGAGGGAATCATCTCCCCTCACCTCGCATTGTTTCATTGAAATGCAAAGGGAAGGGGACAAAATTTCTTCCTTTCATCCCCTTACTCACTCCGAACTAAACACACCTTAAAATTAACCCATGACCATTTGGCATGGCTGCATGCTTGCATTGGCAACTATTGAAAAAGAACATTGCTTTCAATTTTTTTAACAAAATGTTTACACTGCAAAGAAGAAGAGGAATGAATAACAAAAAATTCTAACTGAAATGCACAAGATTTAATAGGTAGTGCTGTTTCTGAAATAGAGGTTGTAAATGACAAATTTAGTGCACAGCCAGAAAAAATGATTTAATAACACTTACCAGAAAAAAGAGACATGTGACTTCCATTATAAACTAAAAATGAAAGAACCGTCACAGTAGAAATAGAAAATTTCCATGCATACCTCAGGATCAGTGGAAAGAAGGCGCCAATATATGTATGCCCGATCTCGCAAATCTGGATTGTCTGACTCCACAGTGGCATTGTTCAGGACAACCTATACAACAACAAACAACAACAACAACAACATTACCCAAGTGCCTCAACGGCTCCCGCCCATTGCGGGGTAAGGGGGGGTCGGATGTACGCAGGATGTACGCAGTCTGACCCCTATATTTAAAAGACAGAGCAGCTGTTTCCAGATGACCCATGATAAGCATCGAAAGTTGCATTGACCAACTGCTACTTCACAATTGCAAGAAGCGCAGACAATTTAAAGAGCCAATTGGTTTTATTCCATCATACTCCAAAGCCAAAAAATAGTGAATCTTAGGCTCCACAGAGGACAACCTATACGTGGAAATATATAAATACTTGTGGATTTCATTACACTAAAATAGCAACATTTCTCTCTCCTACAGGGAAACCAAACATGTACTTGACGTTGGTTGTTTGTAAACCAAAATACATCCTGAAGGGCCACTAAGACTACATAGTAGCAAAGGGGGAGAATAAGTAATCATTCCTGTAGATTAAACACAATAATAATACTCCTTGTTAGCCCTTTTAAATGCCTTTTCGGGATGTCCCAAAAAACGGGTTCCTCTTTCCAAGAAAAGAAATGTTTTTTTAGTTGATTTCTCTTTTATGCCCTTGACCTTTTCACTGTTTACCCTTTATTACCACCACTCCTCTGCCTTGCTTTTCCTCCATTCATTTCCCACTGCTGCCCCTTCCTCTGCCTTGCTTCTCCAGCTTCGCTGCAATTTTGGGTTTGTTCACAAATTGGAAAACTTAAATGGAGAGCGAGGCCGTTGGTGATGTACCAAATACCTTTCTTTTAAATCACAATGCCGGAAAACCTAATTAAATCTGGAAAACTGACCCAGACCCGATAACCCGGAACCGAATCCGAAATGACCCGAAAACTGGAGAACCGAATTAAACTCGAACACCCAAAATGATCCGAACCGAACCGAATGTATTCAAACCCGATTCAGATCCGGATCCGATTAAACCTGAACCAGTTAGACCCGAACCGAATAAACTCAAAACCGATTAGACACAAAACGGATTAGACCCAAAAACCAACTAGACCCGATATTGATCAGGTTCAAAACAAATTAAACTCAATTCCAGACAAACTTAATAGCTCATTGGTTGATGTCTTTCTAAGAAAAACATATTTCAGCTATAGGTACAACTAATTTAATGTACAAATCTTTTACTTCGTATTTTATCACTTAAACTAAGGTTGTGTATTTTTATAGAGAGTTTATAAAATTTACAATGACATTGCAACACACATTAATCGATATACTAGCTCATTATTGCTGACACTTGTATAGATACTCTCTTTACACATGGGGATGAGAGGCTACACACAAGGCTAACATTAGGAACTCTAATACCAAGGGATATCATTTAAAACCGGTATAAACCTGAGCCGAATAAGCCCGATCTGGTATAAACCCGAACCGAAACCGGAAAAAAATCAAACCGAATTTAACCTGAAACCAAACTGACCTGACCCGAACCGATTATAACATATATCCGAAAGAGACCCAAACCAAAAAGATCTGAACCAGAATCGAACCGATTGACCCGATTGCCAGGTCTAAACCTAATCCATTTTTGGTGCAAATGTGCAATACCGAACTTTTCTTTTCTGGCCGAAGACTCCATTAAACCTAAATGGTCGTTGTGCGCTTCAGGGAAATGGAGCGGCCAAACGACAGCGATGGAAGATTTAGCCAAGGGTAATATTGGAAAGTCAAGATTTATCAATTTTCTTAATCTCCTTGCAGAGTCAAATGAGGACTCTTTTTTTGGGATGGAGGAAATAGCTAACAAGATTTCCTTGCTTGAAAAACTGAAGCATAATAAAAAAAACATGCCAGGCATAGTGTTAAAAAGTGGTTACTGTGTCTTTATTTCCAACTCTTCCCACTTATAAATAAACAAATTTAAGCCATATAGGGTAGATGTAGACTGAAGAAGAGTTGGAAGGAGGTGATTAGAGATGACTTACGTCTTTGGGATCTTACTGAGGATATGGCCTTACATATGACGTTTGGAGGTTTAGGATTAGAGTGGTTGGATAGTCATTTGGGCCTTAGGTTGTGACTTCTGTCTCCGTACTTTTGTGCCTTTATAATTCCTGATTGTGACTTTGTTCTCTGTGTGTTCTCTTTGACCATGCTACTTTCAATTGTAATTGTGCTCCTATGTCTTGTGTCAGTTGTGTGTCTTGAGCCAGGGATCTTTTGGAAACAATCTCAATACTTTCCAAGTAGGGATAAGGTCTGCATACACACCCCCTCCCCAAACCCCACTCTATGGAATTCTACTGGGACTGTTGTTGTAAAGGTATCTGGCTTTAAACTGTGCCACTGTGTTTTTTGCACATATTTATAGTGCTGATTAATTTTAAAGAATAAACTGACCCTATAAACGTCATCTCACTGACCCCAACATAAATGGGTTAAGGTGATGCGATGACGATGCAATGCAACTAGAAAGGCCAAAGAGAAAATCAGTAATACCTGAATCATTTGTTGGGGCCCTTCAGTTGGCTTCTTGAGGAAGAGTTTGACTGCTGCTGTTAACAACTGCAGCTGGACTTGGGGAGGTTCCTCGGGGAAGCTCTCTAAAAAGCTCTCAAGGAGTTCGTCTGCATTGTCTATTCTCTCAGCGTATTCGCCAATAATCCAGATCATGGATGCCTGTTACTAACAAAGAAGTTAACTCAAAAAAGTACTCGAGTTTTAAGTAGCCAATCCTAATAGGTAGAACTCAAACGTGCAAACAGTGTCAGTACCTTTGCCTCCGGCTCATCCAAAGTGTCCAAGCTCTCACAAAGTGTAGCAATGATGGATTCATATCTAAATGACAGAAGATATGGATGGCCTTAGTGAGTTAAAAACAGAACGAAATCAGTTCAAAAATTACTCAGTCCCACTCAGAAGTAGAGTCTGTGAAAGACCTTAGGTCTTATCTTTACGACTAGGAGTAGATAAGCTGCTTAAGACCCCGACCTTTAAAAGTTTGGGAAGTTTTGGAAGAAGTTAGAAGTTTAAAAATCTTGAACCCTTATTAAACTGTTGAAGACTTTTGTAATTTTGCTTGTAGAACCGTAGAGCGGTAGAGGTGAAAGGTAGTGTAAACAATGGTAATAAAACTGTTTGGAGAAAACAATACATTTGCTAAAATAGGATAAAACACCTTCAAATGGACAGTACAGTAAAAAGACAGTAAACGAAGTACTAGCTAATGCCTACACAACACACCCCTTGGACCCCCTAACTAACATTTTCAAAAATAACTCCAGGGCGTCTAAAATTTAAAGTGAATTACTCCAGGGGTACTTTCTGTCCAACCGGCTGATAGGGTTCGTATTATATCCTTATCATAATTACTACGGAGTACCTCAAACTGTATTCTAAGAACTCACAGGTCCTCTTATAACTTTTTTAACTTATTGGCTTCCATTAAAGCTTAATTTAACTTATTGGTTTCCATTAAAGTTTAATTTAATTTTTTATTTTCATTTATGTAAATGTTGATTTTTAGAGAAAAATAATTTTAAATTAAAGTCATTTATAGAAGTTTTAATAATTTGAGATACAATTTTATATATATAAATAATAATTACTCATTTATAACAATTTTTAATAGAGTATTTTTTATTCTACTCTCAAGCAAAATATGTAATTTTTTAAAAATTAAATAGCTATTAGTTTTAGGAAGTGTTTTGACCTACATTAATATAATAATATTATTATTAATGTAGGTCATGTATAAAGTTCAATAATACGTTAAAAAATAGGAATAAGTTTTTTAACAATAAGTTTAAAAGGTTAAAAGAAGATCTGAGAGTCCTTAGTATAAAACTTGTGGTACCCCATAGTAATTATGATAAGGATAAAATAGGAATTCTAAAGGCCAACTAACGGAATTCTCGCCCCTAACGACCGGTTGGATAGAAAGTACCCCCGGAATAATTTACATTAAATTTTAGACGCCCCCGGAGTAATTTTTGAAAATGTGGGACGCCAGAGTTCTTACGACAAAATCAAGGGTACCCAAAAAATAACTTTTTGCTAATCCTGCCCCTCCATGCCTATCGGAGGTCATATATAGATATCTAACACCTTAGTAAGTTCGTACTCCATAATTACTCAATTATATATAATATTTATACAAAATCTAGAAAATGAAGTGTAGAAACATACGTGTTAGGATATCTCCTGAAGATGTCTTTGATGACTATAATAGCTTCTTGAACAACATAATTAACTTTAATTTTGATCAACTCAAGCAAGACACTGATACAACGCTCAGCTGCTCTCTCCAATTTGATGGCACATCGTCCAATAGCACGGACGGCTTTCCTGACAAAATCAACATCTACTTCAGTAGCATATTCCTTGAACTCCAAGAGAACCTGCAAGAGATCTTTTTTTAGAACAAGCAAAACAAAATTAAAACTCTCAAAACATAGCAGGGTAGTTTCAAAGGAAGTCTGTTCACCTGGTCTATGTTTCGGTCTGATGCAAGCTTTATCATAATTTCTAACTTTTCCATCTTCACGTAAATTGGATCATTGTACTTGCAAAAGAAAACCTACAGAAAAAGTATAACTCTGTTGTGAGAACACATTTGTTCCTGTGACCATCACAGAAAGCACTATGCATATATGCTAAGTAGACTAATATTGCATCTACTAGTAAATCAAATATCATTACCTTAATTTCATGGGCAAGAATTGTAGGCCGTTTTTGTACAATGAGGTTAATATTCCTCAATGCAACATACTGAATCTCAGGTTCAGCAGAAAGCAATGTCACAAGAGGAGGAGCCATTTTTTTACAAAGATTTCGAACTACATCAGTGCTGATAATGAGTTCCATCTGTTGAAGAATCAACTGCCTTGCCATAAAAAGATGGAGTGAGCAAGATATCTTTTATAAAAAAAAGAAAAGGCAAATGACAATCATGCTTTTTTTATGGCATAATCATGCTAAGTATGAAGAAAAATATTACTCCGTATTTCATAATCCCAGTTAAATAAATAGTGGAACCTAAACTTTATACTTTCATGCGTAATGTAAACACAATATACATTGTTTTTTTGGCACAAAACATGAACTTATCATTTTAACTAGTATTAGCAATTTTGTGACATTATAAATTTCATAACACCGACCCCAATTGGAATTAAGGTGCTGATGATGGTAGTGGTGATGACTATAAAAACAAGGTACATAAAAGATAACAAAATACTAACATTAAAAACAAATTCCATGGTAACTATTAATGCATCTAATGAAGCATGTTACCTTAACAGCTGAAAGCACAACTGCACAATTTGCGTGCTGTAACCGTGGAGTGACTCTTTCTATTACGTTTTCAGCTTCACGAGCAGATGTTGCTTTATACTTGGTAAGTGCATCCAATATAAAGACTTGACCCCACCTACGTACATAATAATCATTCTCAGTATTAGAGGGTACTACACTTACGTCTGCTGCAGCATTTTTCTTCTTCTTGGGGAACGGAGGGTGGGATGGAGTCGCATATAAGTAGCTTGTTAAATACTTAAAAGATCTAAGCTGAACAGTAAGTAAACAAGCCACTGGCCAAAAACATTAGATTCGCTGATTTGGTGAAACTCACTCTGTGCATTCATTGAGAGCTGTAAGAAGTTTTGATAGCGTGTTGTTGGTGATCTCAAAGATGGGTCTGCTACTGCTCTCTTGAATTTCTGCAAGTGCTGCAACAGCATTTGCAACAACCATAGGATTGTTGTCAGATATGAGATCCTTGAGGGCTTCTAGGAAACCCCTATCCTCAACAAGCTCAGCATTTATGTCATAAAGTTTAGCAACACATATAGCTGCCGTCTTGCGTACATATGGATCATCATCCTGATGAAAAGATGATGAAAGAAGAATGGTCTTGTTAAGATAAACCTTTAATCGACTTTTAACTGTTCTAAGAATACTCATCTTCATAGAGCCAAAATTATGGAAATAATATTCTGTCCCTTTTTATCTTCCCCTTTTCTCTTTCGGGTCATCCCCTAATTAATTCTAGTATTATGAAAGTGTTAGATAGATTTAAAGACAGCACTGGGCTGAATATCAATAAAAACAAGTCACATATTGTTTTTGGAGGGGAGAGTCAACAACAACAGGCTGATTTCTTGAATATGACCAAGATGAAATTGGGGAAGCTGTCTTCTACTTATCTGGGTAGTCCTATCACCACAACTAGACTGAAAGCTGAGGATTGTGATGCCTTGATTAATAAACTCACTAATAGAATTACTGGATGGAGCTCCAGGAACTTCTCCTATAGTGCCAGAATCAGACTCATTAACTCAGTATGCATGGGAGTGATGACTTTCTGGACTAGAATTTTTATTTTACCCAAATTGGTGATGAAGAAGATTATGGCTATATGCAGGAACTTCCTATGGGGGAGTACATCGTGTAGGACCTCACATGGCCAACACATCAGACTACAGGAAAGCCCCATTAATTAACTGGGATGAGGTCTGTCAGCCAAAAAATATAAAGGTTTGGGGATCAAGAATGGCTTTAACTGGAACAAAGCCATAGTAATGAAATCAAACTGGGATGTTTCTGAGAAAAATGATGTCCTATGGGTCAAAGGATACATAGTAGGTACATTAAAGGTGCAAACCTATGGAACTATATCCCAAAAAAGACTCTTGCCATTATTGGAGAGAGATGATAAAGGTAAGGGATGGGTTTAAAGACATGCCCAGGACTGAGAGCTACAACATCAAAGCAGGCTATGATTGGCTTCAAGGGGAGAAAGTCAAGCCAAGATAGAAGGAATGGGTATGGAACAAGTATACCCCACCTAAGTTCCAGTTTATTGTTTGGCTGCTGATGAGAGGAAGACACCAAACCAGAGACAGGCTCAGCAGATACTTATCAATTGATACTGAATGTGTGTTATGCGAAAAAGAGGCTGAAACTGATAAGCATTTGTTTGGAAAATGTGAGTTTGCTCAAAAAGTACTTCATCAAGTCATGAATAGATATCAAATACAAGTCCATGGGAGCTCTATTGAAGAGATGGGGGATAACTTGCAGAGGATAAATTAAAGGAAACATAGATGGAAAGCCTTTGCTGTTTGGGAAGCCTGCACTAACAGCATATGGAAGGCAAGAAACAGAATCATTCATCAGAAATGTGCACGACTGAAGAATCTATTAAATGTGCAGTGTTTTACATTAACAGCTTGTTCAATTATAGGAAGATGATATGATCTTGTAGTTTGATTAGTTAGAGGCATAGTTATCAAGGCATCGCATAGGTGTCCTGGCGCCCTTCTACTCTCGCCTTGGAAACTCGCCTCGCCTTATTTTGCATACCTCGCCTAATGGCCTTAGCCTCGCCTTGGCTCGCCTAGTCCAGTACTTTTGTTTTTTAGTCCAGTAATTTTTTTTTAAGTGTTTCATACACCCAGCTGTAGTGCTTTGTTTTTTTAATGCTTTATAAATTAGTTTATTTGCAAGTTAATGTTTTTTTCTACTTTATTTTCCTAATTAATACTTGGTGCTTAATTTTTAAAATTTTAAATGATTAATTTATTACCAACTTAAGTCGGTATCGCTTTTTTTCAACTTTGTTTTTTCAAGGAAGTACTTAAGTAACTTTGGTAGTTAAACTTTGAGGTATTAGAAAAATTAAAACTTTACCAACTACAATATATAATTTGATATATGTATATTAGTGTTTTTAATGTATAGCAACTCTCCTATATTACGTGTCACCTAATTATCGCCTAGGTGGTCGCCTAGTCGACTAGGCATCCTGGTGGTACCCCAGCGCCGCGCCTTGACTTGGCACCGTGATAACTATGGTTAGAGGGTGCTGCTGTTATTATTGATATTGTTGTAAGCCGCTAATTGATTTTGGTAATGGAAGTCGTGTTTACGGTGCAAATAAAACATTAAAAAGGGATGGAGGGAGTGATATTCAATAGTTAATTAGTTATTTAAGAGGGGAAACATAGAGAGAATGTAGTTGATAGGATGAAGGGAGAATATACCCCGTAATATAAGGAAAAAAGGGAAAACAATGTAAAGTTTTATATGAAATTCACATTTAAGGAATATGTGAAGCTTTTTTATGAAATGGAGGAAATATTAAATATTTTAGCTATAAAGGCTAAAAGTAGAGAATTTTGAAGTGACCTTGAGACACCTCTGAAGAGGATCACATAAATATTCAGTGATTTTGTCAACACGGATGCATCCCATTGTCCGCACCGCCAAAGCACGAATTAGGGGATTAGGGTCTTGTGTGTCCTGCAGTAATATTCATATTATTGTAAATCCTTCTTTTCATTAAAACACATGTATCATCATAAGCATGATGGAGAGAATGTACTCAAAAAACAATACCAAAACAATAACAAATAATATGTCTACACATGGCACCAATAAGCATGATGGAGAAAATCTAAAAGGCCCGTCAGATCAAGATATCTAATGATCTAGTTTGCTGCAGAAAAGTACAAACATCAAGTAAGTCTGTTACATTTTCACTATCAAATTAATTATACATGTATACTCCTTGCTTCCCAAATCACAAGACATGTTTCCGATTATGAGGTTTGAGTGAAATTAGTTTCAAATTAAATTTTTAACATATACTCCATCCCACAAAGAACTTCACACTTTCCTTATTTGGATGTCTGAAAAAACTTCAGTTCTACGTTTTACTTTCACAGTAAGGGATACGTGGCCTACAAAATTTCTCTCTTTTAAGCAAATTCCACCCAAACACTTTTCACTTCTCAACATTTTTCTTGGACTCTCCTTAAAGTTAGAAAATGAAATTATTTGCGGGATGGAGGGAGTAATTAGTATTAGTAAATAAATCTACAAATTTAAGCATTACACTAGAAGTTCTACTAAATAGCAACAACCTATAATATGATAAGAATCTAATTTTGAAAATACACTTCAGTTCTTTTGGCACAACCTCTTGATCTCATGTTATGACACCGAACCTTTTGGGAGCCCTGTGATGCTCTATTGGGCCAAGGACAAGAAGGTGCCCCGCATTGTCATTGATAAATAACAGTAGGGGGCTGGATTGACATCACGGGGGGCATGGGCGGTGGCAGACCGGCAGGAGGGGTTTGTGTTGGGGTTAGGGGGTAGGACCCGATCTCAGGACCAACAGAGCATCGTGTCAAAAAAACCGTGGCATTGAAAAATAAGAGGGCAAAACATAGTTGAGTTGACTGTTGCATAGTTAATGTGGACAAATAAATGGTAAGCAACTACAGATGAAGTAGATGTAAGTGAAATCTGATCAACAATGGTATGCGGTGTGTTAGCCTCTTTTGATAAACCTAAATACAATGTTCAGCTTTTCCCTCGCTTAGATTACTGGAAACAACCAGAAGATGCTTATAGCTATCACCGTCATTCACATTCTTATTCCCTCCAATCTTCACTTCCATATCTATGGAGTATTTGAATCTTACATGACCAATTGAATTCCATATCTTGTCAGTTTTCACTACCTTAACTCCTCCCCTTCCCCTCCAAAAGAATAGTGTAAACCTTTTACCTTTAAATGCATGGCTCTATGGAAGTTTTGAGGAAAAGGAAATCTTCATTTTGCAACTCCACTTCATCACTTTGTCTCCATGTTTATTGACTAATTTTCCTTTCCCATCTCTAAAGTCTGGTCCCATTCATGATAAAGAAAGGCAAAAAAATGGTTTAAAAACTACAAATGATAGTCCATGATTTCCATTCGGGGAAAATCCATTTTTGCACTTTATCCTTATCCAACTACAATTTTCATTTTCCACCCAAATGAACACCCTAAATTTCCCAAAAATGCATATATATCCTTTTTTCCGTTTTCATTGTTCATGAAATTACTCTGAAAGAGTAATAATCCTAGGAGCTAAGTGCTCCTAAAAGGCTAAGACAATTTGCTTCTAAGAAGCCTTGGATCAGCAACACAGCACTACAGCATCGGAACATTATCAGTGAACTCACAACATTGATGTTACATTTTTTCCATTTTTATTCAATGCAAATATGAAAAAATAATCAAATGATACCAAGGGATAGACTGGGGATGAAGGTTGTCTACCTTCACAAATGTATTTACAGCAAGAATTGCGAGGTCAGGCTGGCTTTTAGCATAATTGATTAGGTACAAGTACACGAGTTTTTTAAGCTCCAAATTTTCTGTTTGCATACAATTCACAACATCAGTGAAGAGGGATGAAACATCCTTGCCAACAGTCATCGCCGCAATCACTTTTTTTACAGCATCTTTTCTTTTGTCCTGAAACCAATAAGAAAAGGAAACATCACTTGCATATCATGAATCAGTTGGACATTAGTAGAGTAATAACCATCACTTTTGTCCAACCACTTACCAAGTGGAGTAAATGACAATACGGACATTAAGGAATTAAACGTAGCCATGTGCTATGCTACTATCTGGTCTCAACTATGTTGAACTTTCAGAAACTGAATTTGAAGTGCCAAAGTGCAATAGACATGCTCGAAGTGAAATGTTTTGCCAATGAGTTAGAAAATAACCAAGTAAAATAGTAAAGCGACAAAACGGAAAACCAATAACCAAAACAGTTCTTCAATGTTTTGGTTAAGGTGTAGTTATGACTTAAGAATTATCAATTTTGATTGGTGACACATGACAGAAAACCAAACTGTTATATATGTCATAATTATTAGTCAATACATCGTATTTTATGCTATGATGTCCATATTTCTTGATTTGCCTCATCGGCCCAAATCCACATACCACATATCAATACATGGAGCCCAAGGTCTTCTAGCTCTTCTCTTCTTATTTGGCACTTGTTCATTTGGGCTCTACCGCCTCTTCAACTCTAGCAACTGCTGCATGTCTTCCCTCTTCAGATCTCACCGTGGTTGATGCTTGACAGCACCATGACTTAAAGGCTTACATCGTCATGACACATCATCATTTTTCTGATTCCATGTCTCGCGGATTGTCTATTGCTCTTTTTAAGTTATTCAATGCTGATGTTAAAGAGTTATTGTCACTTAGTTAGCTATGAAGTCGAATATAACTTTTTTTAGATTCTCAAGTTTGGTTGTTTGGGATGGACATTTGGAAATTTTGAATGAAGAAGTCAAGAAACAACAACAACAACAACAAAGCCTTACCCCCACTAGGTGGGTCGGCTACATTGATCAAAAAACGCCATTGCTCCCTATCATGAATCATATTTGTTGTGAGATCATTCACACGAAAGTCCCTCCTTGACCACTTCTTGCCAAGTCTTCTTAGGTCTGCCTCTTCTTCTAGCCACATGTTTATTAACCACTTGATCAACCCTTCTCTCGCAAGATTTTCTATTGGTCTTCTCTCCACATGTCCAAACCGCCTAAGACGAGTTTCCACCATCTTTTCATGAAGATGTGGGCCAGTCATTCTCGGTTAGACGGTTACTATTGAACTAGGATTATGTGATTTGAGAGTTGTTAAAATTTTTATACTCAAATTGATACAATGAAATGTTTTGGGTTTGGAAAAACTTGAGATATCAAATGAGCAATATTACCAACCAAAACCAATAAGGTCATTTCGGCTGCTGGTTTTGGTCAAATGGACAAATTTCCTGAATGCTTCACCTAAAAGATTGCTCCTCGATTAAAAATGACATAAGACTATCTCCACTATAGAATCCAAAGTATATGACCCTAAATATCAGTAAAAAGATCATTTAAAATAAAAAGGATCACACTAAATGCAGATAAAGCAATCTTGTACGCATGAACTGCCTAAAATTCCAGCTTAAAGAGTACCATTGGCATTAACGTGAACCTAATGAAGTTTCTAATGATCCCACTATTCCAAATGCAAATATACAATAACCCACCTACTTGCTATACAAAAGTGATCTGAAGAAAAAAAGCAGCTGCTTCAATTTTTCAGATCGATAGATTACTTCAAATGTTTCAGTGTGCTTATGACCGATTCAATTGCACCTTGATCTAGCCGCATCTAATCTAAATCACCATGTCAAACGGATAAAGCTGCTAATCAGCACCGTTGTTCAAGTGATCGATGGCACGCTACTGTTCAAATGTCAAAAAGTTAAGTTCACTGATGCGTGAAATGTATTATCCGCGCATGTAATTCGGAGAAAATGAATGCGAGAGCGCGGTGAAAGATGTGACCTTGTACTGAGAATTGAGTTCTTCTTTGAGTTCAGGGATTTCGCCCTTCTTCGTGGTCGAGAAGTACTTGGAATCGTGTCCGCTCATCTCCGATCTCTCCACCAGAGCTGCCCGGAGGGAGAAAGAAGGGGATGCAAGGTGAAGATCGCAACTGCAAAATGGGTACCTCCCTACTGATACTCGGTATTTTTCTACAGTAAATTCTTTTACTAGTTTCTTTTAAAAAAGAGTAAATTCCATAATTGGTCAATTATAACACGGGTTTCCCTATTTAGTCTTCTATTATCAAATATTACAACAGTGGTCCTTCTTTTATGAGTATTTTTCCACAAATAGTCCTTTTTTTGATCTTCTATCATGTTGGTGTTAATTTGAGGACTAAAAGTCTAATTTCGCAACGATAATATATCTTTTTTGTCATACACAATTCCAAATGTTATTCTTTTTCCATCGTTTTTGAATTACAGTCGTTTTGTACTACAATCATAGTCTACAAATGTGGTCTTTCGTCATAATCTTAGCCCACATTCATAGTCATTATTTTTGTGTTATCCGCTTAATCAATATCAGAACATGTCACTAAACATGATGTTGATGTCAAATTATACTTTTAGCTTTTAAATTAATACCAACATGCCAGAAGATCAAAAAAAGGACCATTTGTGAAAAGACACCCTTAAAAAAAGGACTGCGGGGGTAATATTTGATAATAGAGGACTAAATATGGAAATCCCCCTATTATAAAGGACCAATTATAGAATTTACTGTTAAAAAACAATATCAATAAATATGCTAAGCATAGAGCTTCTACAAGTATTAAATATAGACGGCGGGCGGGGCTCAAAAATACTCCCTAACTTATTAAAAATTTTATACAAGCATTTTAAAAAACCTCAATTGAAAGTGCAATAAAACACATACAAACAATAGGAAAAAAATATTTCACTTTAAAAATGTTATGAAATTAGATAAAATACAAATAATGTAAATGAATATTTATTTTTTTCGTTTCCGTTCTGTTTTAAATTAGCTCAAAATGATTCAAGACAATTTTTGTCATCCTAATAAAAATAAGACTATAAGGACATGACAAGAATATTTCAGAGTTGGAATAACGGGATCGGAATTGATGCTCACCACTAATGCAAAATAATGGGATCGGAATTGATGCCCCCCCCACCCGCTTGATATAGTTGTCTTATAGCAGAGCAGTCTTGTGCTTAGCCTAATAGCCTCCCAGCACAAATGTTAGGACTTGACTTTGGGTTTGATCTAAAATTTTGTCATGACTTGACTTACATTATAATCATTCATATTATAATGTAAATATATTTTTATTTCATGATTATTTTTTGTGAAATAAGAATATTGATTTAATATTCTAATAATTAGTTCATATATACATTAGAATAAATATTTAATTTATATATGCATTAAAAATAATTAAATTTAGATAATCAACATAGAAAAAAGATAGTATTTTTATTAAAATATCTCACCCTTATAAAAGATCAAAACTTTAGAAACTCAAATTACAGATAACAATAGAAATGTATTTTAAAAGTAGAATTCGATTGACATTATCAATGTATTTTAAAAGTAATTTTTTCGGCATCTAATAATTAAGGATTACCTTCTCAGTATTCTATTTAACTTACTTCTAAAGTTTATTTTTTTCATTTTTAAGAATAATAATAATAATTCTTGATGGGATATAATCTGATCTGATTGGATCCAATCTGATCTGATTCGAACTGATCTGATCCGATTTTAATATGAATAAGAAAAAAATAAAAAAAAATTAAATAAAATATAAGTTGAACGGAACGGGGCCTTAGTCATAAAATAAATCATACTAAACTGTTTGAAAAGTAACATTATATGTATGGGTTCGATGAAGACCATCCCCACCCATACTCATATTTTCTTCTTTTCATTTTAGTGAGAGCTACCTTTCTAGTCTACTTCAGCGGTCTTAAGCAAAGATGATATACGTAACTTTTTCGTCTTTATTATTTTCAGTCGACATCCAATTCGGCCGAGGTGGATTGCAACTTTGGGATGATGTTTTGAGGTTGATGTCAACACGAGGGTAGGGAGTTGTTTGGTTTGGGTCTATTGTAGTAATAATTTTAGTGTCATCAGATACTTTATGTAATTGATATATTTACATTAGACAAGAATTCGAGCAAACATTAAACGAGTTAGGATGTGCTGAGTGCAAACTCATTTAACGATGCTACAAATTCATAACGAGCTCTGAGAGCAAAATCCCCCTGTAGCGGGGTCCAAGGGGAGATTTCGAACATATATATATATCCATACGTTCAAATATTATATGTTTGAAGATTTCTCATTTTGGACATTATATTATTGCTTTATGAAAATCCTTTAGGTTTTCTTAAGCAGAGTTCTAAATATATATTATTCAAGGGTGGAGGCGGGAGTGGGAGGCAAGGGTGAGCTGGGGTGCGGGGTTTAGGGGGAGAGTTAGGCGAAGTAAGAACCATTATTTTTACAAACAGAGCACGGTAGGTACCCAAATAAATTGATGTAAGCAAATGACAACAGTAGCACTTATGGTCATTCAACTTTCGAGATAATTAGTTAAATGCATTCTTTTAGGCCGGAGGGCGTGGTTAATCGGATCAAACTTACCTAGATCCAGATTTGGATCCGATTTAGTTCAGACTCGATCAGTTTCTCCAATTCAGATTCAAATCTAATTATTCATTTTTTGCAGGTTCCAATCGGATAATGTTGACCTATGATACAATTGCTTAGGTTTCATCGTCTCTAAACTCAAAAAACATTCATTTAATCACTATAACACACCAGTCTATTACTGTAAAAAAATTGATCTTTTTATTAACAAAATGAGAGCAAACAAACAATGCAGGTGGAGATCAAGTTGCATACGCCAATGAAGTGTGTGCCTTCTTACTGATGAGACGTCAGGTCCAAAGTGAAGTTCTTCCCAATAAGCAGACGTAGCCCAGGGATCTCCACAGCACCACTTCCATTCCTCAATCCAAGAATAGTCACTTTCTCTATGATCCACCCACGGCTGACTGCAAAACCAGGATTTGTCACATCAGATGTGAGAGTCACACGGTTCCCCGCTCTTCTGGTCTGAAACCGTACAAAACTCCACCTCCCCCCTGCACCTCCCATTCCGGCTTCCTCCCCATCGTCCAAGAAAACCTCCCCTGAACTCTTCACTGTCCCACTCAGCGCCACCAACAGTTCAAACGGACTGTTTCTTGCTTCTCGTGTGGTCAATGCTTCTCCTTGCATGGGGAGAATGTGGCCCTCCCTGAGATGGACATTTACATGATCCAGAGGCGCTCTGAGAGTTCTGTTCCAGCCAGATTTCGAGGACACCGTGTTGGAATAGTTGAAGAGGTCGTACCAGGTTCCAGCTGGGAAGTAAGCTTCCACAGAGACGGCGCCACTTGTCAGCACGGGGGACACGAGCACGCCCTTGCCAATGAGGAACTGAGAGTGGACCCCGTGCGTGTTGGTGTCGCGGGGGAACGAAAAGAAGAGAGGCCTCGCGATGGGGACCCCGCGTAGGTGTGCCTCGTACATCAATGTGTACAGGTATGGCAGGAGGCGATAGCGCAGCCCAAGCACCTTCTTCGCTGATGCAGCAACCGGTTCCCAAATGTACAGCTCATGGCGGTCGCTAGACTTGTCTCCGTGGTTTCTTGAGAATGGATAGAATGCCCCTAACTGCACCCAACCAACATTGTAATTTACTACGTGGGAATTAGACTGCGTTCCATTCAACTTATTTTTCCAGCTTATTATTTTTTCTTAACAGATACAGCTTTAAACATAACTACAATCAGACCAGAACTTCAAAAAATCAGACCAAATCAGATCAAGCGAATGCAACCTTAATAGAAAGGAAGACGATGAGGGCTAAAGTGTCATTTGCACATGGAAAAAAGCATTTAGTATACCTGGATCCAGCGTCGGCAAAGCTCTTCTGTGGTATTTCTAGCAAACCCACAGATGTCTGCACCAACCATGGGGATACCAAAGAGCCCAGAATTCAGAATGCTTGGAATACTGAAAGCCAAATCATCCCAAGTAGCAGCATTGTCACCAGTCCAATGTGCAGTGTATTTGCCAGAACCCACAAATGTAGACCTGCTTAGCACAAAGGGTCTCTTCCCAGTAATGTTTAGTAAAGCCTGGTTAGTAGCCTTTGCTTCAAGGAAACCATACAGGTTGTGAACATTATACTCCAACACGCCACCAAAATGAAGTGCTGTAGCTGGGACAGTCCTCTCATTGATCGGCCTCTGGTTTCCGGAGTTGTTTATCTTGTAAGGAGGGTTGTCAAACGTGGAATTCGGATTCGAAGGGGATGTTATGAAATTAGACAATTCATTCATATCAATCCAAAGGCCATCAAACTGAACCGTGTCTCTGAACGTTTTGATCTCATTGCTCCAAAAGGGTGTCGTGGCCGGGTTTAGAAAGTCTGGGTAGTACACATTCCCTGGCCAAACTTGTCCCAGATAAGGAACGCCGCCGTGCTTGATGTATATATCAGCTTCAAGCCCTCTCTTGTAGGTGCCGTACGAGTTGTTTATGCTAATCCCTGGCGAATTAAGGCAAAAGAAACAGAATGGCAAGAACATATATTCAACAAGAAAGAAACATTAGCACGCATCATTCATTCACATTCAAGCTAACCAGAACTTGAGCTCACCTGGATCAAGAATCAGAACATATTTCTGGGCATTCCGATGAAGGCGATCCACAAAAGCCTTCATCTTCTCCGTGGGGAAGTTAACCGGATCCAAAGTGAAATCCTTGTACGCATCCATGTAGTCAATGTCCGTCCATACAACCTCAAGAGGTATGGAGGCATTTGCATAGCCAGCAACCACAGCTTCAAGATCACCAACATCCTTATAACCCCAACGACATTGATGGAATCCTGCAAATTAAATGAGATTTCCAATCAAACATGGGTATAATAGGTGGATGATAATTGGAACCCAGATTTTGTAAAGTACTAACCAAAAGACCAGTAAGGCATGGGAGCAGGGCGGCCGATGAGATCTGTATACTGATCCATCACCAATTCCGGTGTGGGACCAGGGAAGAAATAGAGGTCGAGGACACCGCCGATTACCTTGTAGGTAATCCTATCTCCGGCGTACACGACGTCCATGCCGTTGCTGTTGAGCAGCAATACCCCGTGGGCGTCACCGGAGGACCGGAGGTCCAGGTAAAAAGGGTGGGACCCATAGAGATTGAGGTCGCGGTTGGAGGTGCCTATGTCCGCCGCCCAGAGCGTCAGGGTTTGATGGCTCTGAAGCTTGAAAGTCCCCTTCGTGTGCTCTCCGATCCCGTACAGAGAAGATCGATTGGGCGGCAGCGAAGACGAGATCTGCAGGTATTGATCCTTGAAGATCAAGAGGGAGTCGTCGGAACCGCTGATCGGGGAGGCGTCGAAGACGGCGTCGTTTGAGGATTTCCGGTGGACGGAGAAGCCGAATGGGGCGGTGTTGAAGAGATTGAAAACCAGATCGGAGTTGGGGTCGGAGATGGCGGCTGCTGCGGCGGCGGATAACACATTGTTGGTGTAGTTGTCGGGTGATGAACTGGTTGTTGGTTCCCGGGGTATGAACTCTTCGGGGATTTCCCATCTTTGCTTATCTGCGTCAGTGATCTTCACCCTCAAACGACCTCCTTTCTCAAACCTGCATTTTTTTTTAGACAGGGCGGTTGACACTAGGATACTTTCTACTTGTGGTATTTTAATGTTAGGATGATGGGTCTTCCCACATGACTCATTCTCACCCTAATTTAAGAGACACCCTAATTTAAGATTGGGTTATCTGGCAAAATGTGAGTCGGAGAGGAAGAGGGGACAGGGAGTTTGGGACAGAGGGATTTCTACAGTGGTCTGCTGGTAAAATTGATGATTTTTATCTTTTTTCGATCTTGTAATTCGTCGCCCCTATCCTGCCAAATCAACGATTTAGGGGTTGTGGTATGGTTTAGGGGGAGGAAACATCAATTTTACCGATAAACTCCGTAGGTATCTCAAAATGTCAAAGTAATTAAAAGTCACTTTTGTCAAGGTCAATAGATCATTGCCGTATCATACTTAATTTGTTCGAAACAAGATTACAATTTTAGAATTCGAGATTAAAACCCGTGTTTCTAAAAATAATTTTATTTAAACATTAGTATAAGAATAAAAAGTAAAAAGTACGTTCTGTGTTATAAAAAACTACGTCAAAAATTTTACAAAGTAATAAGTAACAAAAATATTGTCTTTTATTAAATAATTAATGAAAATATACAAATAAACAAAAATTATCCGAGCGTGAGTGAAAGAATTGTAATATACAGCAAGAAAGAATGAATACTCTCTTTGTTTGATCAAAAAGTTTTACATTTCCATTTTCGTCCGCCCAAAAAAAGGGTTACACTCTTTATGTTTAGAAACGAATGTAAAACTCTAATAATTTGTGTATTATTTTCAACCGCAGAATTCTATTTTTATTAATTTTCATACCAATTTAAAAGTGAAAAGTTTTTATGAAATGAACCAATTACTATGACACATTGACACTCACTCTAGCAATCAAAATAACCAAGCACGGAGTATCTCATAATCCGCTGGATAGATTCCAACCCGTATAAAAATACAATTTCCAATCAGAACCGAAAGTAACCCAAACATGAAAAAATGGAACCCAAACTTGACTTTTACAAGATGTCATTTGATCATCCGAAAAAGTTGACCAAACACCCAAGCATGTTCTAATGAGCGCTCAACTGAAATGGAACACCAAGCTAAGGCTGTAGGGATTGGGAGTTTAAATTCTTTTCACCTGGCAAAAAGGCTGAGATTGACAATGTCCGGTCCAAGAAGAGACGAGCTCTGGATGACCCGAAGCCGAGCGGTCAGCGACCGGCCGGAAGGATCGACGCCCGAGGATATCACCCGGTACCCGGACCCAATCTGCTCTGCTTTTGAACTTGTCTGCACAAGAAGAGGGAGAAGAAGAAGACCACACAAAATGGAGAGCAAATTGCTCGTCACTTTCTTATTCTTCTTAGTCATGTCCTCAAACATGGTTTTTGGTTGGTAAGAAAAGACACTGAGGAATGAATGAATGAAGAACCACACAATTCTTGCACTCTTTTTTATACCCAAATTGGGGGGGCAGATAAGGTGAGACAATTTTGCTTTTGTGAAAATTTAGGAGCCGTAGATGTCCTCAATCATTCATTTGGGTTACACACTTACACTAAACTCACTATTATCCCGTACTTGTATTTTAGGATAAAAAGCAATTCAAATCGGCCACTTAAACGTGAGGACTGTTTAAAAGTCAGATTATACCTAATCCGTTCTTGATTATTTGTCTATTTTTAAATTTTGTTAGTCAAAATTAGTAAATTTTGATTTCAAATTAAATAAAAATAATATTAAATATTGATAAAAAAATAGTTTTATCAGATTTATTATATAAAATATTTTCAAAATATCATTTTATACAATTAATATACAATATATATTTTATTTAGTTATAAGTCAAGCGTGGAAAATAGTTGATTAAAAAAGTCAAAATTAGATAAATACTCGGTGATTGAGATAGTACTTAGTAATGAATTGCTACTATAAGAAATCAATAGTTCCCTTCAACTTATTCTTATTATTTTTTTTATTAAAATCAGATCAGAAACAAATTTAAATATAGTTATAATTAAATCGAGTAATTTCTTATTTCAATCAGATCGTGAAGAAAACAATAACCTAGACGTTCTTTCGAGGGTGTGTGTGTGTGTATGTATATATATATATATATATATATATATATATATATATATATATATATATATATATATATATATATATATATATATACATATATGTATGTATGTATGTATGTATGTATGTATGTATATATATCTCTGTGTGTGTGTGTGTGTGTATATATATATATATAGGAAATTTACGTAAATAGTACTAAAACATATTGATTTTTCAAATGTAGTACTATATGTTTTTATTTTCGAAGCTAGTACCATTGGTCACTGTCCACTGCTTGTTGTTCAAGTAAATGTCCAATGCCACTAGACATTGTTCAAGTTAAATGTTAACCATCCTTAGACATTGTTCTCGCCACCAGACATAATTCAAGTACTATTTATTAAATAAATAAATTTAAATACTATATTGAGAAATGACATATGGGCAAAATAGCTCCGGTGCCCCCTGTGGTTTGGAAAGTTGGCACCAATACTCCCTCTGTTTTCAAAACTTATTTCTAAAGCTCTGGCGGTTTCAAAGCGTTGCACTCACACCCCCTCTGGTCATTTTCCAGTCATTTTCCGGTGAAGAGAGGGCATTGACGCATACTTTCTAAATCATAGGTGGCATTCGTGCTCATTTCTTATTTTCGTTTATTATTTGTATTTTCCCTTTTTAAATATTTTTTTTTATCTCTTTTTCCTTTTCCTAGAATTTTTTAAAATATATTTTCAATTTTTTTATAATATTTTAAAAATTTTAACATTCTTTGTGTTTGAAATAAAAATAAAAAAATTAACATACATTACATCTATCTCAAATTAAACATTTTTACTTTTTTTTTTAACTTAGAATAATTTTTGGAAAGTTCAACAAAAAAAAACCTAAAATAAAAAATGAAAATATGGAAAAAAAATGAAAAAATTAACATACGCAAAAAAAAAAATCTTACACAAAAAAAAATTGGACACGCCTAAAAAAGTCCTTAGAATTTAGATGTCCAAAAGAATATCATTTCTATTTTTGTATTATTTTGTTTCTTATGTTATTCCTCTTTTTTTTTGAAGTTCTCAAAAAAAATTACTTTTTTCAGAAAAACAAAAATTGTTAATTTGATACGTACATATGCATTATATGTTAATTTTTTCAAACAAAAATAACTTTATATTTTAAGAACATTATAAAAATAATATTAAAAAAACTTTTATTAATAAATGAAACAATAAAGGAAAAAAATGGAAAAAACAAAAAAGAAACAAGAAATAAAAACCAGCACTGATACTCCCTATTGTTTTGAAAAATATGCACCAATGCCCCCTTCTTCGCAGGAAAAATGGCCAAAAAATGATCAGAGGGGGCACAGGTGCAACATTTTGAAACCAAAGGAACTTTAGAAATAAATTTTGAAAACAGAGGGGATATTATTGTTGTCTGTTTTGCAAACCACAAGGGGTACTGGCGCTATTTGGGCAATGACATATGTTTTAGTACTATTTAGAGCAAATTTCACTATACATCATACATGAAGTGCGGTATTTCCAATTATCTATATATGTGAATACCATTTTTTGTGCAATAGATATTCATTTCATAAATTTATTTATTTTAGTAAAATTCAAAATATTTACATTATAAAATATATGCTTGTTTACTAGTTACGTTAATACATAATGTAGCTTTATGAGTAACACAATATTCATTTGAACTAAACTATTATGAATGTACTACTAAAATAAAAACACATGCATAATGAGTATTCATTTGCTCATTAATGAGTATTATTGAGTTCGGGATTACGAAAAACATCATACATCTCGTTGTACCATAAATATTGCCTTCTTGGGGTTGACGTAATTGACTTTAGTTAATGCAGCCTTCTTTTATTTTTCGTTCAATAATTTGAAGTTCTTTAATTTATTCTCGTTCTTTCAAACTTTTTCTGATTATTTCAAACTTCATCTCGTTCCTTCATACACTTTCCAGTTTGTTTTGATATCTTATAATTTCCTCCAACATTGACTATAAAGAATTGTTTAAACTTTTGATATTATTCTTATTAAAATTATTATTATTACTATCAATTATAATAATATATTATTATTCTATTGATGTTATTGTTCTTGTTGTCATCGTCATCATCATAATCATCAAGTATTATCATTGGATAGAATAAAAATGAAAAACATGTCAAAACATACATATTAAAATAATTCAAGTTATGATCATAGAGTCAATATAAATATTAAAATCTTAAATCCATCTATGGACTACATATATTATTTTGTAATTTTTGGATATACCATAATTATGTTTATTTGAAACTTGCATAAACTTCTATTGAATTTAACTTCTTAATTATTTTATTAAATGTCACTCAGGACAAATTAATAAACTTAGTTTATAGAATAGAGTCATTCTATGATGCATGTTGGGTGCATACCATTTTTATATATTTTTTCACATTTTTTAAATTTTTTTATTAAAAAAATAGATGCATATTTAAGTAGTAAAAAGTGTTTATTTTGCTTATTTTGCTCTATGGAGGACCTTAGGTCTACCATAAAATTTGTCTGTAAATGATCTATATATATTTACACATTCTACAAAATTTAAATTAAACATCGGGACCTTATGTCTACCATAAAATTTGTCTGTAAATGATCTATATATATTTACACATTCTACAAAATTTAAATTAAACATCCTAAAAAATTTTGTGAGCGAAATTGCCTAAAATTATGCGGAGTAGTTCTTATTAAAATAAGATGAGACAATATAACTATAATCATATCATACCATACTTGAATAAAATCAAAAACAATTTTAAATATAACTATAATCAAATCATATCAAACTTAAATAAAATCAAATTATGTTCGATCATATCAGATTAAGAAAACAAACTCTTAGTGTGTTTGTTCATTTTGAAACTTCTTTACAAAATATTCTAATGAAATCATTTTTGTGAGATAATACAATTTACCATCAAAGAATTTACAAGTGGAAGTTAAAATCAAATCCAATTGTGAAAATATCTCTTTGTCCGCGAGTGTATGTTCAATTTTGACATTTTGTATATTCAATCAAAATTACTATTTGATTTGTAATTAAATAAAAATAATATGTTATATATTAATTAGATAAAATGATATTTTAAAATTTTGTAAAATAAATATTTGATAAAATTATGCTATGTAAAAGCAAAGAAAACACAAACATAATGGTTTAAAATAAATGTAGTAAGCTTGCATTCAAAAAAAAATTGTACGTAGTACGTAATAGTAAGCCTGCATAAAAAAAATTGTACGTAATAGTAAGCCTGATAACCTTATTTGACTTATACTCCTTCCCTCTCCCTAAGATGTTCTCATTTTGACTTTTGGTGGTTTTTAAGGAGAGCTGAAAAAAAGTGAAAGATTACCATAATATCCTTAATGAAAATGGGTGGAGTGTATTAAATGAGGTGAGTGGGGTGTAATAAATAAAGTAAGTGAGGGGTAGTTGTGGTATTTTGATTGTTAAAAAATGAAATGAGAAGATCTATTGTGCACTAAGAAAAAAGGCTATTGGAAAGATCTATGAGGGACGGAGGGAGTAGTTAAATACTGTCAAATTTAATTACAAAAAGTCAAAATTAAATAAATACTTCGAATACCAAACTACGTAGTATTTTATAAATACACAGGGAGTAATTTTTCTAAATTTAAAATACATAGAGATGCATTTTTCTATTTGAAATAATGTAAGGGTACAACTGCAATATTCTAGATTAAAATGCGAGTATTACAGATTTCAAAAGCATATCCTCAAAATTGACATCGTTTATCCTTTCCTCACTGTAGTATTCCCTGTACATTATTTTTAAGTCAAATATAAGGACGAAATATCGTGAAATTAAAAAGTAAGACGCGTGGGCCCCTACAAACCGGCGTTCGCCGGCGGATAATCGGCGTAGAAATCGGAAATCCCGGACGCCAGCCAGAGCCGCTCGTTGAAGCTCTCCTGCATATCTCCCGGTATGAACGGCGTCCGGCAGAGCGGGCAAGTTTTCTGATCGTGGTCCATCCAGCGGTCGAGGCAGCCCCGGTGGAACACGTGGCGGCAATTCGTCAGCCGCCGGATCTCGTCTCCGCCGTCGAATTCGTACAGGCACACGGCGCAGCTCTCCGGCGGGTCCACCAGCTCCGAGAAATTAACCACCGGAAGCAGTTCCCGGATTTGTTCGGCGGAGATGGAGTGGGGCTTCGGACCCGATTCCTCCCGGGTCGGGAAGGACATCTCTGGATTTAAGAAACCTAGAAAGTCGAAAACGGCGGAGATGAATCTCCTGAAGAGGCCGAGAATGGTGAGCGCGTGAACCAGAAGCTTCGGAAGAAGAAGATCGTTGTACCCGACCGGAAAACCCATATTCTCGTCGCCGGGGATCGAGTTGTGGTCGGAGAGAGCAGATCGGTATAGGTTGGGTTATATAGGCGGGGAGCTGGTGGAAGGAAAGGGGTCGGAAAAGACGGGAAAGGGCATGGGAAACGACAGAATGGCAATGGGTGGGACTTGGACGTGACTGTATTTTACACTCTTGTTTTTTTAAAACTAGTATTCTGACCCGTGCCATGCACGGGGTCAAAAGAAATTTATGTCGATTCTGAATTATTTAAATGAATTTTTTTTTCGGAATAAAGAAAAATATATTGCTCACATGATTTTTAATACTACAAATGAAAAAGGCCAAAGTAAAATAAATAATATTTTAGGAATAGAATATAGAGTTAACAATGTTTATTTTAATACCAAATTTTCTGAAAGACTTCAGGGTATACAACATTTTTGGTATGGTTGCAAGGGTTTCCATTGTCATCTAGAACTAATATTTTTAATCTTGTCTTCGTCTTCACTCGTGAAACAGCAACATATAGTTGACCATGTGTGAACACTGACTTGGTTAAAACTAATCCCACAAATGACAATGTTTGACCTTGACTTTTGTTGATAGTCATAGCAAAACATAAGGCGGTCGAGAATTGTTTTCTTTGGAACTTCAAGGGTAGCCCTGGATCAGATGGTACCAAATTCATTCTATGGATGTAAACTTTTTCCGCGACTCGATTTTCTGAAACCACAATTGCACCGGCAAAATTATTTCGCAACTCTTGAACGATTAATCTTGTCTCATCACACAATCTAGATGTTTGGTTAATGTTCCTCAATAGCATAATCGGTTCCCCTGTTTTCAAGACTATTTTGTGATTTGGGAATCCCGAATATTTGATTTTGTTCAAAAACTCAATTGTTATCCAATCGCCATCAACACCTACATTTGCTTCTGCTTGGCACGAAGAATCAGAACCCAAGTACTCCTTCTCATCACCAGGAATGAGGGACAGAACACATTCATTTATCATTTCAACTATTTCAAGAGTTGGTGCCAATATTGCTCTATACTCAAAAAAAAGAATAATTTTTCCTATTCTCTAATATATTCAGATAAGTGAAGTCCACTATACTCTCCATAGGAGAACTTGTATCAAGAATTAAGAATTCAAGCGGAATCTCAACATCACCAATCTCATCCATCACCTAACCTAGCTTTCCATCACCCATTTTGATTAGAGTAATTTACATAAATAGGACTAAAACATAATGACTTTCCTAATATAGAACCATATGTTTTTATTTCTCAATGTAAGACTTTTGGTCATTATCAAGTAGTCATTATTCAAGTAAATGTCCATCATTACTAGACATTATTCCTCCCACAAGGTCATTATTAAGTCCTATTTAGGGAATAAAAAAAGTTTAAATCCTACATTAGAAAAGTCATTATGTTTTAGTCCTATTTAGTGCAAATTTCACTTTTGATTATCCAATCAGAAAAAGTTTGTGTCCCTATCTGTGCAAGAAGACGTGGATGAATGCAGGCTCATATTGCTGGTCAACGTAAAAACTTTACACTTCGACCACAAATGTGAGGAATTGATCGTAGCACCTCTAGGTAAAACCAGAAGGGTTTGTCAAAAGTCACCTCCGAGTATATATATATTCATTGAAAGTATTATTATAAATGAAATGAAAAAATAAAAAATTAAAACAAAATTCTAATGAAAAATAAATATCTCTCTTTCTAAATTAAATGTATTCAATGATAATAAAATCATAAATAATGTTAGTGTGATATAATAAGTCCTAACGATATGTTTTGTTTTAATCATTTGTATTTTATAATATAATAAAAATAGGTTTAAATATGTTTTTATACCCTATAAAATAAGAAATTTTTGTTTTTAGTCCC